TCAGGACCGTGTTTTGTGGCATTCTTTGGGGGAGGCCTATGTTCAGCAGTGGACTTGTGAAGGGCTGTAATGATGATGATGATGATGACATCACTATGAAAACTAGACGCACGATGTAACTTTGTACAAGCGCGCCAAAGAACAAAAAATAAATGTTTTCATATTATTTACAAACTATTTTAAGTTTTGAAACAGAGTTTATTGGAAAATTACTTGATTCTGACATTTTGACATAAAGTTTTATATTAAAGAGGTATTCTAAATCATTCGGCAAATGTGTCACTCGTGCAAGGTTATATCGATTAAGAATAATCTGTCAAATCGGTAATAACTCGGCGGCCGTACTATAGTATAATGATGATAGTCATGTAGAGATATCAAACTGAAAATCACAGACACAATATACAATCACAATAAACAAATCTGAGGATATGATTCCACGCTTTCATGATTACCATAGACAAAAATACCAGTACCGATATCGGCATTAATACTGGCACATCACTAGTTAATACTCTTTGGTCTATGACAGTGTACGTTTTAATACTCTAGTACTACCTACTTCTATGCTTTAGTTATTGTTCTGAGATAGTCTTTAATTTATCTACTCTATGCTCCAAGATACGTAGCTTGTTACATATTTATTTATCTATGAGCCAGTTAAAAAAAATCTGTTCAGTGATAAAATCACAAGCTCACATTAGGGATGATCGATGTTGCAGAAACATCGATGATGACACCGATGTTGGCATCGATAGCTCAACATCGATGTTCGATATTTAGCCTACTCAAAACATTGATGTTGACCATTATCGATATTTTTGTATATGTATAGATACTTACATCATCATCATTATCATCATTACAGCCTTTCATAAGTCCACTGCTGAACATAGGCCTCCCCCAAGGATACTTACATATTGTTTCAAAATTAAATTATGTGGGTATACACAGCAAGGGAAACGTAACAATTAACTTGAATATCAATTTGCGTAAAATAGTTATTATGCGACAACCGACAACGATACTACAAAATAAAGCGAAAGCAGTGACCACTGTGACATTACAGGTGACACTTAACAATTAAGTTTGACAAACCGTAACGATATTTTTTTGGGTTAGCGATGCGTTCAGGAAGAGATGCAAGATTTAGTTGATATTTATTTCGCGGGTTCGCATTGTTCGCAAGTTCCCAATAATCGATTATGGGTTCATTGACATCGATGTTTCGATGTTTGACATGTGTCAAAATCGATGTTATAACATCGATGTTTTAATTTTTAACATCGATGATTATCGACATCCCTAGCTCACATCTCACAATCACAAGTACGGATGTGACATTGAGTGAAAAGAATCAATTACTAATAAACCGATTATTTTCTTTGTGATATTAATCGATTTTGGAAAAATCGATTTTTATTAAAAGAAATAATCGCTATTTGCGAAAATATTTCTTTTATTCGAAAAATGCTTGCTTTGCTATATATTAATAAAACCACGAGATAAGTATGCTACAATTTATCAGAATAAAAATCAAATAAGATGATAAGTTTAAAGAATAATTTAAATAAATTTTATACGTGGTGTGTAAGTTTTATACGTAACCGTTCGGCTCCGCGTACTGCAGACTGCTGCATTCGATTTGATTCTCCGTATCCTGGCTTTGATCACAGACGGGGGCGGTTCGGCTCATGTCGGCCGATATATTGGAACGGGACCTCAGCATCGGTCTGGTAGATGAGAAGTCCGTGGAAATCTGCAAGCTATTGGATCGAGGCCTCAACTACTGCGGGGGCGTTTCGTCTATCCTTGAAAGCGTGTGCCTTCTGACTGGGCGGTAGATTTTCTTGTCGCCGAGCTTGGGTCGTATTATTTTACGGTGGGAGTTGTATGTACCCAACGAAGACGGAATGGAGGACGATTGTTTGTATGCGATGTTAATGGCTGATGGATTTCGCGTGGGTGCTTAGGGGGCCGGGGCCGTTGGTGAAGTTTGCCGCCACAATGTCCCTCATCTGGTCGTATGCTCAGTAGTTGTAGGGCCCGTATTGGGATCCGTGGTAGTAAGGATCCCAGCCATGCTGCAGCTATATTAGTAGTAGTAGTGGTATAGTTATAGCACGAATGGGACGGCTCGACCGGGGAAGGACCACGCTCTCACAGAATACCGGCGTAAAATAGTAGCTTGACACTGCTGTGTTTCGTATGGTGAGTGTAGAGAACCGGAGACCCATTTTACTGCAAAAGAGGCATTCTATCTTAGTCCTCACGGGTGATGACGCATCTGCATTTTGATTCTTTATTGAGGATAAATGTTGATGTCTATGGGTCACAGCAACCACTTACCATCAGGTGGACTGTGTGCTCGTTTGTCACCCTATCCTATAAAAAAAAATAAAAATTAATCAGAACGACAATATTCAGGTTTCAAAACTAAACTATAAAACATTTTTTTTAACTAATAACTTTAAACAACAAAAAACTAAAAATAATTACTGCTACTATATACATGTTATTTAACAATTTATTAAAACCAAAATAAAAAGAAATGATAAGTTTAGTAAACGGTAGTTTTTGAAAGTAAGTTTGAACAAACAAAAAATCTAAATATCATTATTGCCACAAATGTTCAGTACCATTGACATTGGATTAGAATCAAAATAAAATAAAACTATAAATTTAAATATTCAAACGACAACCATTTTTTTGTCAAAACTAATATACAAAATAAATCTTTTTTTAAACTTTAATTTTGAACAAAAAGCTATAAATAATTATTGCCACTAATGTTTAGTATCACTTACATTGGACTAGAATGAAAACAAAATAAAAATATAATTATACATAATCAAACGACAACCTTTTGATCTCAAAACTAAAATACAAGACAAATCTTTTTTTAACTTGTGTCAAAAAAGTAAAAAAAAAATATTGTTATTAGAGTTTAAAAACAATAATTTTACCAACATTCTTCTTCGTCTGTTTTGTAAAATACAGTTTCGTTTTTTCCTGACAATATTTCCCGCTTTCGAAAATAATCTTTTAGCTGGCGTGAAACTGGCCATCACAAAGAGATGTTTAAGAACCAATTCGGTTAGTTTAGGGAAAGTTCCTTCAGAGTTCAGAGCTCATTAATAGAATCAGGCGTTACTTCACCGAAATCCATTATAATGTGGTTGTCATAGAATTAAGCAAATTAGTTTATAACAACTCCATTCCTTTAGAGCTTCTGCATATATTGAGGGCATCTGCCTTGAGATTTGATAATGGTGTCACAATATATAGGTTCTATTCAGTATATTTGCCGAATGACGTGTTGGCCGCTATTATATTTTCATTACAAAATACTTCCGTCAGCCACTTTAGAGTATTTTACAAGACATTTTTATTGCTTAACAATTATTTACACTCTCCAAAGAAATAAAGAAAACGACATAATACTTTTACTCATAGCGGAGAAAGAAAACGGGTCAAAACATACGAAAGGTGAAACTATTTTACATACATAGATATACATACAGGTGGCGCTGTCTATTGATCGACTTGTTCATGTTAGTGAACTTACTTCTCGTTTTTTCATCTGTCGCACAGATGACTTTGTTCTCTTGATCGTCTTATTCATGATATTGAACTTCACGTTTTTACATCCATCGCACAGATGACGCTTATTACAAAAATCGATTTAAACGCTTAATTTTCATAATCGATTTATTAAAAATCGATTTTTATTATCCAAAATCGTCTTTACAAAATCGATAACATGAAGAAAAAAATCGATTATTTTTTCACATCCCTAATCACAAGCATTTCCCAATATTTACTTCAAACTAGGGATGGGCAAAGGGAAAAATATATCGATATATATCGAATCTATATTTTTAAACAGTATCGATATATATCGCGTAATTAATATCGATATATCGTCATCATTTGAATGATTTAAGGAAAATGTCCAAAATTTTATCTACTAACGGTTGGACAACGAAAAAACGATACAACATTTTAAAATATATCGAAATTGATACGAATTCGAAACCCAAAATAAATATCGATATGTCGATATATCGCGATTTAAAATATCGTCGATTTATATCGATATATTTATTAAAAATATCGATATTTCGATATATTTATATTTTTTACCCATGCCTACTTCAAACTTCAAAGAGTATAATCACCCGCCTAAGGGTAGGTATTAGTGTTCTGTGTAGGCATGAGTAATATCACTTTTACTCTATATCAAATCGTACGTATGTATTGGATATGAAAATCCAATTTTGTATCTATATATTTCAATATCTATATATTTGTTAATATCTTCGTTCTGAATAGAAGTCGGTAGGTACTCACATGGTGATATGCAATTTATGAACGAATTTCCATATACAGATTTATAGATATATTGTATTATTTATGTAATATAAATATTCTTAAAGTATTTTATAAAAAGTAACATACATACATATATCATTATAATCGTATATCATTAGGATTTATCCTGCGAGATAATGAAATAAAATATTAAATTGAATCGTGTCGTGTTTATGCCATCTAGCGTATATCGCACGTACCACCTTGAGAGTTAATCAATTTTTGTTCGATAAAATCACTTTACGTATATTATCTAGTAGGTAGCGCTATTACAAAATATTTTTTACTTCCTCAAGGTTTGTTCGGTATCCGAATCAATGTATATATTTAGATATTTTACGTTTCGGCGGTTTCGGTTTTGAGTAGATATTAGATATTCTGCGATGACTCATATCAACACGGTATCGTAAAATCGTAATGTCTAATACATAGTTAGTTTGTCGTCGGATATATAGATATTGGATATTGTACTGATATATAGATATTGTATCTATATACGATTTGTATCGCCCACTCCTAATTCTGTGAGTATAATATCCGTTAGGAGTAATAGTCACAAATTATAAAGTTGTAGAGTAATAGTGTTCTGTGCATGGAGTATAGAGTACTCTATACTCCATGGTTCTGTGGTATAATATACAGAAAATTAATCAAAATTAATTCTACTCATTGCATATTATTTTGTGATTAAAGTTATTGGAAATAGAAATGACCTATTTTAGTGAAATTTGTAGAATTTGTTTATGCGATAATGTACGCATGTATGTACTAAAGAAGACTGGTCTTGAAAATTTGTACAAAACATTGACGAATAGTTTTGTAAGTTTGTAAATATTTCTTAACATTGCAAATTGAATGTACTTCATCGAGAAATACTTTAATAAAGAGGGGTTATCGCTGGAGAAATATATTATAACATATATAGTATATATAACATAAATAGTATATATAGTGACAAATACAACCAGAACCTGAAAAGCAATTAGCCTGGATCCTGGATCGCACTAAAATCAGTATAATCATTGAAGTAACCGCGGGCTCAAACTTACCGAGTCTGCGCCATAAACAGGAACTTTGTGCATCCTTCAATGCAACCCGCACTGCTGCATAGATTTATTCGTGGTGTCTGTTATTTTCCGTCAAAAAATTAATATCCACCCTAGTTTGCTCTTTCACCCACTTAAAGCCGTTCTATTGACTATTAAAGTGGGAGATTAGAGTGCACATGTGCTTACAGACAGAAATTTTCTCACTCTTATATTTCTAATATTCCTATCAGACTGAGAAATTGGAGAAGGGAATAATGTGCATATGTGCTTGCTAACACACATATTATGCAATGTAATCCTGTCCTGCGCTGATGAATAGGCTCTATTGTGACCGAAATTCTGTCTGTAGAACATTATTATCATTATTTTATTTGTGGTAGAGCCATGCTGCAGCTATATTATGGTTGTATCACAGGTGGTTCCGCTAGACCGGGGTGGTACCGTATTCACAGGTTACTAAAGTAAAATAGCAGCTTAGTTCTGCTCTGTTTTATATGGTGAGTGTAGAGCATTGGAGACCATTTTTACTAGATTTGAGGCATTCAGTGTTGGCCTCAGGGGTGACAACACATCTGCATTTTGATTCTTTACTGGGGATCAATGTGGAGTTCTATAGGCCATAGCGAACAACAAATCAAACAGTCCACCTGATGGTAAGTGAATGCACTTAGAATTAGGTGGACTGTTTGATTTGTCGTCAGCCTTGTATAAAAAATATTGAGCCAGCCAGCAGTTGATATAACTCTGTATCCTGGTTTCAAATCTCTAGTTGTTCTATTTTTTTATAGGAATAGGGTGACAAAAGAGCACACACAGTCCACCTGATGGTAAGTGGTTGCTGTGACCCATAGACATCTACATTTATCCTCGTTTGTGAATCAAAATGCATATGCGTCATCACCTGTGAGGACTAAGTTGGAATGTCTCTTTTCCAGTAAAAAGGGTGTCCAGTTCTCTACACTCACCATATGAAACACAACAGTGTTAAACTGCTATTTTACGCTGGTATTCTGTGAGAGCGTGGTCCTTCCCCCGTCGAGGCGACCCATTCATGCTACAACTATACTACTAATATAGCTGCAGCATGGCGCTACCATGTTGTAAATTTATCCAATCTGTGGTACAATCAGTTTATTGTTTGTACTAATATTACTTTTGATAGCAGTTTGTTCCATATTTATTTATTTATTTATTTATTTATTCTTTATTGCATTCCTTAAAACAAAAGAATACAAAGGGCGGACTTAATGCCTTGAGGCATTCTCTACCAGTCAACCCATGGAGTGGTGAGAATTTGACGTAGGTGCGACAATATAGAATAAAATAACAGTACACAAAATAATAATTAACTACATAATACATACAATTTACTAATAAATAAACTATACATATATGACGTATACAAACATATATACAAATATATACATACAAATATACATATTTAAATACATAACATATAATTAGTACATACAAATACCTATGAACATATGCGTCTGTTTAGCATACTTTAACAACTCTAGCTAAAGTAGGTGAGTTATTAGGTGACTCAGCTTTAGTCAATTTGAAGTGATGCCACTAAGCTAAGCATTAACTTGAAAATACCCAAGAGTCTGAATCTACTGCTTTTAAAATTATATCTGTTAATGTCATGCACACTACTACGTGCTTGACACTCCTTTTAAATTAATTTGAGAATTGTGTACATATTATGTTAACAGTGTGAGGAAGTTTGTTGATGACATCATGTCATCACTTATCAATGATTAGTAATACTTTACAAGAAAACAATGAATAATTTCGGAGTGGGAGCAATAAATTCAAAGATGTTGCACAAGTGAGTGTAACCTAGTGTGGGGGTAACGTTTTTTAAAAAAAAAAACTGAAACACAAGTGAGTGCACAACTGCGTTGTTAACAGTACTTACTAGGCGAGCACGGGGCACGGTCGGTGGAAGCGAGAGGGGTAGTAATAGGCAAACTTTCTGCACTCGGCTAATAGCTAGCAGGACTATCAACAAATGGGGAAACATAATTCTCGAGTGGTAGCCTCAAATGGTAAGCAAATTGTAGAGTGGCCGCCCACTAGATAGTGGCAATCTGGTAAGACAGGAAGTAGATGGATGTAGGTGGCTTAGGACTATGTTGTTGCATTGATGATGATTCACTAGGTGGCAGGACTTTGTTCTGCCTAGGAGTCTGTCTGGGTAGTAATCATCCTCTTGCCTATTTGTGCCACCAGCAGCAGTATGTGTCCTGGTGTGAAGGACATTGAGAGCTAGTATAATAACACGCTGTGAAGCATTACATCTTAGAGCTCAGAGGTAACATCGCATCTGTAGCCTTTGCATGAAGTTTGTTGCAGGTGCCTATGGGTTGCAGTTGCCACTTACCATCAGGTGGATTGTAAGTTTATTTGTCACTTTAATGTTATAAAAAAATGATGTTGATGAAGAGAATTGTGGTAGCCAATAGATTTTATTACAAACTTGTATATTTAAGTAGTTTTCCATTTTTATGACGATATTTCATATTTTCAGGTGGATGTGGATGAGGAGGTCATAATTGTCTGTTTCATCTGTCATGCAAGACTCATTTGTTGCAGAACATTACAACAACAGGCTATTGAGTCAAATGCAGTTCTGGAGCTTTTTGCTTGCAGGAGGGTCTATGGTATTATCCGTTCCATCCATTAAAACCTATAAAAGTCCCTCACAGATTGCTTTTTGCGAGGGATTTTGCCAAATTTGCCACACTTGGCAGGTTGGCAACCGCAGTTTATATTAGTCTGAGTTGTTGTCAGGAAGATGCTGCCGCTCAACTCCTGTTTCTGTTTCCCTCTGTCGCCTCTTACGACACCCGTCCCGTGGGTAGGTATATAGGCTAGTGGATATTCTTACACCGCCACTACATGGTCCACGGTATTATACTTGTTATTAATAAAAGTTCACTGCCTGATGGTTTGTTCCCATTATAATGAAGTATTTGCCTTAATCATCACTTGGCGTTTCCATATGGGAGAATGTTTTTTCTACTGCAAAGTTAAGTTTATCCTTCAATCCAATTTACTTTTTCGTTAGAGCAATGTTCTATATTTTATGAATTACAGTGATGATTTCTTATATTTATGCGAACACTACAGATTGAATAAAATTATTTTTACGGATTTTATCGCGTTTAATTAACTTATTTTATATTCCCGACGTTTCGGTTGCTGTCCAGCAACCGTGGTCACGGGGTACTGAGGTGATTGATGTCCCGATGTCAGAGTTAAACCGGAGTACCTTCAGCTTTTTTAATTAATAATTTTGGTCCGATCTACGCAGAATGTACTAACTGTGTCTTGAAGTCTTGCAGTGGTATGCTTGGGTTTAGTTTTAATTTTATGAATTACAGGATCCCAAGCAGGTAGTAGTACCCAGCCTCCCTCTCTATTGAAATTAGGATGTCTTTTAATTTCAATAGCCTCACGTATCATCCTTGGCAGGAATCTATGTTTTTTCGCGAGAATTTGTGGTTTATCAAATCTAATGTAATGGCGGGGCCTGTCTAGAATATGATCACAAACTGCAGACTTCCCGGAACGTTGGTGCTTCACGTCAGCTATGTGTTCTTTTACGCGGGTTTTTATAGATCGTTTTGTTTGTCCTATATATGAGAGACCACACTCACAATCAAGCTTGTGCACTCCACCTCGTAGTACACTGCATCTTGTAGAGGAATATTACACTTGACAGATAGTAAGAACTGACTAATCTTCTTCGGCGGCTTGAAGAATGTTCTAATAGAAGCTCACTTCAAGATGTAGCCAATCTTGTCTGTGACACCTCTGACATACGGTAGTACAGCAGGCACACGCTCCACTGTGGCCGGCTTCACTCGGTCACTGTGACGTAGGCGCGGAACCCGAAGCTTGTTGTCGTGCAGAACTTGCTTGACGTGCTGAAGCTCGGCGGCCAGGTGTTTGCTGTTACAGATCCCTCGTGTTCTCTGTAACAAAGATTTACCCACGGTAGCTAACTGTGATGGGTGATGGTGGGATTCACCATTTAAATATCGGTTTGTATAGGTCTTTTTTCTATACACAGTGTGACCTATGGTATTATTAGGATTTCTAATTATTTGCTCCATAGTAAATTGAATTTTAGAGTTTATGGAATTAAGATGTTCTAAAAATGCAGTGCCGTGTAGTGGCGGTCAAGAATATCCACTACCCCATATCCTCCCGTGGGTGTCGTAAAAGGCGACAAAGGGAAACAGGCAGGAGATGGGCAGCAGCATCTTCCTGATAATAGCAAATTACAATAAAAAAAAACTGCGGTTGCCAACCCGCTCGCCAAGCGTGGCAACTATGGCAAATACCCCCCAATGAATAAAGCAACAAACAGACGGCCCCCAGTCCCCAGCGGCCCCGCTATTCCTGGCTACGGTGGCGACCATGGTAACGGCGGGGCAGGGGGTGCTAAGAATCTCCGGTGGAGGTTCGGTTGCCACCTTAGACGACTCGACCTGGCAACGTACAACGCACGCACCCTGAGGACTGACGAGAAGATCATGGAGCTGGAAGAAGAGATAGACAAGTTGCGCTGGCATATTATAGGATTATCCGAAGTCCGAAGAGAGGGGGAGGACACGGTAATCCTCGAATCCGGCAACTTGCTCTATCACCGGGAGGGCGACCATCTGTCCCAAGGAGGTGTCGGATTTATCGTCCACAAGTCTCTCGTTAACAACGTTGTAAAGATCGGGAGTGTGTCGACGAGGGTTGCGTACCTTATACTCAGAATCACCAAACGGTATTCGCTGAAGGTCATACAGGTTTACGCACCAACCTCGGCACACCCCGATGAGGAGGTGGAGGAAATGTATGAGGATATCTCTAGAGCCATGCATTCCTCCAAAACCCAATATACGGTGTTAATGGGAGACTTCAATGCAAAACTAGGCACAAGAGAGAACGGTGAGCTGAAAGTAGGGAAATTTGGAATAGGGCAACGGAACCCAAGGGGCCAGCAGCTGGCCGACTTCATGGAGAAAGAGGGACTCTTTATGATGAACTCTTTCTACCAGAAGCGGCCCCACAGGAAGTGGACCTGGTCGAGCCCCGACGGTTCCACAAAAAATGAGATTGACTTCATTATGACGACCAGACGACAACTGTTCAGTGATGTCTCCGTGATCGCGAGGGTGAAAACTGGTAGCGATCACCGAATGGTTAGAGGCACACTGAACCTAAACGTTAAGTTGGAGAGGTCTCGTCTAATGAAGTCAACGCTCCGTCCCCCTCGTGCTCTGTTCCAAAGTCCCGAAACCTTTCAGCTCGAGTTACAAAACCGTTTTCAGTGCCTGGAAGACTGCAATGAAGTGGACGATATGAATGACAAGCTCGTGGAAACTGTCCATGCGGTCGGAGCTAAGTTCTGCAAGACCCGCCGCAGAAGAACACAAAAACTTTCCGATCACACTCTTAATCTCATGGCTGTTAGACGGGAGATGAAGCTACATTCTTCAACAGACTTGACAGCATACAGGCATCTGAACAGACAGATCTCCAAATGCATGCGGCGGGACTTACGCAACTTCAATACAGCTCGTATTGAAGAAGCGATCGAGCGGAACCAAGGCTCCAAAGTCTTTGTCAGAGATCTGTCTGCCAGAAAGAGCCAACTGTCAAAGCTGAAGACAGAATGTGGCAGCATCGTTTCCGGGACACATGGGATTTTGAGTGAGATTGAGAGGTTCTATGGGCAGCTGTACACATCATCGTTGGAGCCACACGCAAGTGTGAGTAACGATCCAAGAGCGAGTCTCATCCGACACTATTCCGAAGATATCCCGGATGTCAGTCTGAGCGAGATTAGAATGGCTCTCCAGCACCTTAAAAACGGCAAGGCCCCAGGCGAGGATGGAATTACAGCGGAGCTTCTGAAAGCGGGTGGAAGACCGGTACTTGAAGTCCTTCAGAGGCTCTTTAATTCCGTCCTCCATGGTGGCATTACACCGGAGGCGTGGAGCAGAAGTGCGGTGGTCTTGTTCTTCAAGAAAGGTGACAACGCTCTCTTGAAGAACTATAGACCGATTTCCCTTCTGAGCCGCGTCTACGTGCTGTTTTCGAGAGTCATTACGAATCGTCTCGCGCGCAGACTTGACGACTTCCAGCCTCCCGAACAAGCCGGTTTCCGAAAGGGCTTTAGCACCATAGACCACATACATACCCTTCGGCAAATTGTACAGAAGTCCGAAGAGTACAATTTGCCACTATGTCTGGCGTATGTGGACTATGAGAAAGCCTTTGATTCCGTCGAAATTTGGGCGGTGCTGCAGTCCCTTCAGCGGTGCCAAGTTGACTGTCTGTATATCGAAGTGTTGAAGTGCTTGTACAGTAGGGCTACGATGGCTATCCGAGTACAGAACCAGAGTACGAAACCTATCCAATTGCAGAGAGGTGTAAGACAGGGTGACGTCATATCCCCGAAACTCTTCACCGCTGCATTGGAAGACGTTTTCAAGCTTCTGGACTGGAAAGGATACGGTATCAACATCAATGGCGAGTACATCACTCACCTTCGATTTGCCGACGATATAGTCCTTATGGCAGAATCGCTGGAGGACCTAAGCACTATGCTCAATGACCTCAATAGTGTTTCCCAACGGATAGGTCTTAAGATGAACATGGACAAAACAAAGATCATGTTTAATGTCCATGTCACACCTATGCCGGTAGTTGTTGGGAGCACTAAGCTGGAAGTTGTTGACGAGTATGTTTACCTGGGACAAATAGTCCGACTAGGTAAGTCCAACTTCGACCGTGAGGTCAATCGACGGATTCAACTCGGCTGGGCAGCGTTCGGGAAGCTACGACACATCTTCTCGTGAGACATACCTCAAAACCTTAAAACGAAATTGTACAACCAGTGCGTGTTGCCAGTGATGACTTATGGAACTGAGACGTGGTCCTTCACTGCTGGCCGGATGAGGAAGCTCAAGGTCGCTTAGCGAGCTATGGAGAGGGCTATGCTCGGAGTTTCTCTGCGTGATAAACTTAGGAATGAGGATATCCGCAGTAGAACCAGAGTAACCGACATAGCCCAACGGATAAGTAAGCTGAAGTGGCAGTGGGCCGGCCATATAGCTCGAAGAACCGACAACCGATGGGGAAGAAAGGTTCTCGAGTGGCAGCCTCGTACCGGTAGGCGAAGTGTAGGGCGTCCCCCCACGAGATGGAGTGACGACCTGGTAAGACATGCAGGAAGTCGATGGATGCAGGTGGCTCAGGACCGTGCTTTGTGGCATTCTTTGGGGGAGGCCTATGTTCAGCAGTGGACTTGTGAAGGGCTGTAATGATGAATGATGAAAAATGCAGTTACTTTGTCTGATGGTGAAATTGTGAAAGTATCGTCTACGTACCGCTTGTAGAAACTTGGAGTTACTGGTGCAGTAAGCAGGTACTCTGGTTTAACTCTGACATCTGGACGTCAGTCACCTCAGTCCCTCGTGACCACGGTTGCTGGAAAGCAACCGAAACGTCGGGAATATAAAATAGTTAATTAAACGCGATAAAATCCGTAAAAATAGTTTTATTCAATGAATTACAGTGAGTTAAGTACTTATTTTTACAAAACTAATTAGCTAACTGTTTATGCTGTTATATATTACTCTATTGTATATAAATTAAATATTATCTATATCTGGGGGCACGGCAGTGCCCCCGCCAAGTCGAGCAAAGAAGCGGCACGGCCGTACCATCCTTTTCTCGAAGCAGTTCAGGCCATTTTAGAAACCCTATAACTTCGTTGTGGATAAAACTAGAAGCCTGAATTTTCATTAGCCAAGTAGGTATTGTATAAACTCGGTATATTTCAAATTTCATTAAATTTGAATCAGTAGTTTAAGAATTATAACTAGTCAAAGTTTCTTAATTTTGTCACTCGATGACTGACCGATCATCAAAACTCTAAGGTAGATATAGAAGCTTCAAATTTGGAACACAATTATTGTTTAGTATATAAATCAAGGAAAATTTTAAATATTTTGCAATTTCACTCCAGTTTTCGAGATACACCAACTGCATAAATAATTTCTAAAAATATATAGGATTACAAAGTTACATTTGCAGTGAATGAATCAGTGTATCTATAATATATGTATAATATAATGGAATAATAGGTGTAGATAGGTACGTAGATATAACTATCTACAAAAAGAAATGAGATGCCATCAAAAACATAACTTGTAAAAAAAACCAAGTCTCACAACTCAGTTCTGCTACCGTAAAAAGTTGTGAGATCCATGTAATACCAAGTCGGTTAATTTATTCAGTCTCTACTTAAGGGTCCTTCTGTCTTAAGTTATTACGTAATTAGCTAACCTAACAACATCTTATAGTGACCACATCAATATTAAAAATCTTTTATGTTTTAAATACATAAATTGACTTGGCAATCGCACTAAACAATCTAATTTAATATAATATGTATTACTTGAGAGATACATTGTGTTTTCATGAGATGGCCAAGTCAATCTATTTATTTAAAATGTAAAAGGTTTTAGTATTGATGTGGTCACTATAAGATGTTGTTAAGTTAGCTAATTACATAATAACTTAAGATAGAATGACCCTTAAGTAGGGACTGAATAAATTAACCGACTTGGTATTACATGGATCTCACAACTTTTTACAGTAGCAGAACTGAGTTGCAAGACTTGGTTTTTTTTTACAAGTTATGTATTTGATGGCATGTAATATTACTCAGTAAACAAAGATAGATCATTGTCAATTTACTGCATTCGTGAATCTGATTGGAAATATTGTTGAGACTCGATACTCGGGATGGATGAACTATATACATTCTTATGTAAGTTTATTCGGAACCCTCACTTTGTCCGGTTTTTATTATTATTTGTAGTTGTTGTCAGGAAGATGCTGCTGCCCATCTCTTGTTTTAGTTTCCCTCTGTCCCTTTTTACGACATCTGCAGGATGGTATGGTAGTATGGATTCTCATACGGCACCACTACACTGGCTTTTTCTCTTATTAACAAAAGAATTTGGTTTCAGTCAATACCAAATCATCATGAGGCTAGAGATAAGATTCAATTCACACCAATTAGTCATATAGATATCAGGCCAGTAGAGTGTGATCTAGATAATGATTGTCAGAACGAAATGTTCAGTCTTGAATCTGTTAAAGTTGAAGAAGAGAGTTTAGAAAATGAGAATTCCAAATTTGAAGAAAATGGGAATCATGAAATAGGTAAGATATGCACATTTTGTGATATTGTTAAAATAAGGTACAAGTTACCTAATGGCAAGTGGTTACTGTAGTCCATGGACACAAAATAATATTATAGTGGCATATTGGCGCGGATTAGGTCATGTGTTCCAGACGGGTACCAATTTATTCGACAAGGCGCCTTTAACGCGAATGTTACGCGTTCTTAATATAATGGCTGAAGACAGTGATCTATTCTGTTGCACCTTGAGTGAGTTCACTAGGGTAGGATTGTTTACAATTTGTTACAGTTAATGACCACATTTTTGTTATGCATGAGAAGAACTACACTGACGCATTAGGTTATTCCTGTCATGATAGTTGTTAGTTTAAATAAAAACTATCGGTAAATCCAATTGTGCATGCCCTAAGCGCATTAAAAAAAATTACGTATAACATGATTAATAATAATAATAATAATAATAATTTATTGCCCCTAGAAACAAAACAGTTACATACACGCCAAAACAAAAGAACATTATAACTATTTGAGACAAAAGGAGACGGCTCAGCTTTGTCTGTAACGAGATACATATCTCATCACAGAGCTGTTTTTCAGCCGCTCCCTCCTCCCTGAGGTGTTGTGCGGGAGTCCAAAGTAGCAGGCTCCCCATTTACCTAACTTATACTTTTAAACTACGTACAAAGTAATAAAATGTGATAAAATCGTAAATACAAAAAAAAAGAAAAAATTAAAAACATTAAAGACAAAATATTAAAGACAAATATTATACATAGATTATACGGATTTTTTTTTAAAGTAGCTTAAATACACACAAGTATGCTTAACGTAATTATCAAGACATATTTTTCCCAAGCTTACTATTAATACGTGGTTAAAATTAATAGCTATCTTACAAATTATTACAGATTTGATCTTAAATCATTCAAACTGTATACACAGATATTTACATGGTCGTATATGCGCATACATACATGCTAAATACCAAAACAAGAATTTAATCGTAAAATCTTTAAAAAAATATTTCTTAATAACCAAGCGCAGCGCGAGGAGCTCAGGCCCCCATCCGCTGTCGGCATGCTTCGATAAGCTATCTTTCTGACACTTATGGCTACGCATAAGAAGACTTTTTTGTCGTATTCATTTGTAAACTTTATTCACGTCTGGGAGTTGTTTAAAACCGCTAAATTCGTTTGGCATTTTGCAGGTATTATTAAAAATGACTCAATAAAAAAAATTATTATAACTAAACAAAATAAAATTATTCTGCTAACAGATTAAAAAATAGATAAACAATTAATATTTTCAAAACCGTAGAGCCATGCTGCAGCTATATTAGTATTTAGTAGTATAATTGTAGCACGCATGGGTCGGCTCGACCGGGGAAGGACCACGCTCTCAGAGAATACCAGCGTAAAATGGCAGCTTGACGCTGCTGTGTTTCGGATGGTGAGTGTAGAGAACCGGAGACCCATTTTACTGGAAAAAAGGCATTCCATCTTAGTCCTCAGGGGAGACGACGCATCTGCATTTTGATTCTTAATTGAGGATAAATGTAGATGTCTATGAGTCACAGCAACCATTTACCATCAGGCTGACTGTGTGCTCGTTTGTTACCCTATCCTATAAAAAAATGCGGACTTGATAAATCTGCACCATAAGCCACTAAAACCACTTTTTTATGTAAAAATAGCAATTAATCGATTTAAAAAAAAATTAATAAGTCCAACAATCATTTATCTTTCTGACAATGTGGTTTTTATATCATTTATATGTTCAATATAATTGTTAGATGCGATTTTATGCGACAAAACATTGGAATCTTGATTTTTAGGTGCTAGTAGAACATACCTTAGCGTTTTGCGCTAGGCATGATTGTCAATGTAAAATAATGACCTTCTTTAGACATTTTTTTTACTTATGCATTAATATATTTTAAAAATATTTTGATCCTGTATAAATGCAGCCAGTATGTATGTCACTAAGTTGAATTAATTTCATAGGAATTAATGATATACTTACAACTGGTAAGCAACCTGTCTTTGCCAATTTCTTTAGGAATGCCACAAAGCACGGGCCTTAGCCACCTGCATCCATCGACTTACTGCATGTCTTACCAGGTCGTTACTCCATCTAGTGGGGGCCGCCCTACACTACGTCTACCAGTACGAGGTTGCCACTCGAGAACCTCTCTTCCCCATCGGTTTCAGTTCTGCGGCCCATTGCCACTTCAGCTTCTTACACTAAGCTTATGAAACATGCAGTATGGTAATGAAAGTGGGTGGCTCAGGCCCATAAGCTTTGTGATGGACTGTAATGATCTAGTCGCTTGAAAAAAAAATCAGTTATTATTTTATATATTGAGTCAGAATCTGTTTCATTCTAGAGAGTGCTGAAAAACAAGAAGATTTGGAGATTGATGCTTTTGAAGATAGACATACAGATTTGGATGACGACTTGCCGCTAATTGCATTTGGTTCAAAGAGTAAAAAAGATGACGATGACATAGGTGAATTTATGTTAAAAAACCTGCATCAAAAAATAAAAAAAAAATCACCACAAATTCCTCTTGCATCATGTAGTTGGAGATGTACTATACATACAAATTTTGCTCTTAATTACTTTAGTCACATCTAGCGGTTATCAGCTTTACTAGAATTATTTTGTGCGTGCAATTTGGGTCATAAGTTATCGGAGTATTTCGTTCTCTCTCCCACTCACGGGCTTTATAGGCGAGCATAGTGTTGCGCATTATTGTTGTCGATAAGCGTTATCGATAGTGTATTTAGTTTTGTCATTATGTGGCCATGATAAAAATAAAAAAAAATAGACAACGTATTTATTAACATAATAATAACAATAATTTTAAATAAATTATTAATTAGTTATCTATCTATTAAAAAACTATAAGTAGAAATGTTTCGCATCTAACAACTTATATTAAAAATAAATATAAAGATAATAACTTATATCTAAAATTAAATTTGTTGTTACCAATAATAGCGTTGCGCCCTCGCAACATGCCTACCGCCCTAGCCGGGCTGAGGCCGAGCTATGCTTTATGACCCCAACTGCACGCACAAAATAATTTTACTATAGTGTTTAATATAATGGATTTTCGCAATGTAACGCCTGATTCTATTGATAATCTTTTTGTCTTGTCTTACAACGCGGGCGAAGCCACCTCTGTCGTTTTTTAACATCCTTTCCGATTTCAGTCAACTTTTCGCTTTGGTTTTATTTTTAGGATGTGAGTACGAGGGGTGATCCAAAAGTAATTATTGATAGTCAATATTAAACACGGTGATTATTGTTAAAAAAATAATTTATTTTTCCACATAATCTCCTAACAAGTCAATGCGTTTAGTCTATTTTTGTTCTAAACCCAGAATTCCCTTAGAAAAAAAAATCTTTATTTTGACCCTCAAAAAAAGCCGCAACAGCGTCCATGACTTCGCTATCGTCTGCAAATTTCTTGCCTCAAAGGTGTTCCTTGAGCCGAGGAAATAGATAGAAGTCACTGGGAGCTAGATCTGGCGAATAGGGCGGGTGTTCGAACAGTTCAAATCCCGTTTCTTGAATGGCAGCCATCGCAACTGCGGCTTTGTGAGGCGGAGCGTTGTCTTGTTGAAACAGCACTCCAGCTCACAATTTGCCGCGTCTTTTTGTTTAATAGCCCCTGCAATCTTCTTATTTTGCCTGCGTAGTCGAGAGTATAAGCCCGAAATAATGGCTTCCCAATTATTCCACCATAATTATTCCTTCAGCGTCCCCAAAAACTGACGCGATAACCTTTCCCGGCGGACTTGACACTTTGAATTTCTTTGGCGTCGGGAGGAGACTCGGTTTCATACCTTTGATTGTTGTTTGGTTTCAGGATCGAAATGGTAGATCCAGGTCTCGCCCACGGTCACGAAACCTTATAAAAAATCTGATCTGCTTGGAAACTTTCGAGATTCACCCTCGAAATGTCGACAAATTTTTTCTTTTACTCGTCGGTTAACATTCTCGGTACCCAACGGCAATTCGTTCGCAAGGGTTCTTTGAACACTGCCATATGAGATACCTGTGACCTCAGCTATATGCCTGATGGTCACACTTCGATGTGCCAATACGATATCTTCGACTCCTTTCACTTTATCTTCAGTGAGGGATGTGGATGGGCATTCATCTTCCGTGGATGTTCAGCCCAGGTTAACCTCCTTGGCCCAGCGTGCAATTGTGAAAGGAGCAGAGTCCCTCAATATTTCAGCAAGTCGCTGTGTATGTCTTTGGTAGACATTTTTTAAACAGAGGGAACTCTCATTTAATTTTTCTCCATTTTGATGTTATCTCTTTGATGATTCGTATTGAAATGAATGTACCTCTCGGGAATCGTAGCCTGTTTATATGATTTTTTTAAAATTCTGATCTAGTGGGTACATAAACAAGAAAAAACTTTTTCGGATTTTTATGTGCACTGGAAATAACCTATTATCATTACTTTTGGATCTGTTGTCCAATCTATACAAATAAATAAAATTGAAGTGTCTGTTTGTATTCTCAAAATTACAGTTTTTTTACTAAATGCATATGAAAGTAAATACGGTACTTATAACTAAAATAAATTTTAACAATTTTTGTCTGTCTGTCTGTTTGTTCCGGCTAATTTCCGAAACGGCTGGACCGATTTTGACGGGACTTTCACTGACAGATAGCTGATTTCTTAAGGAGTTACTTTTATTTTAGAAAAAGAATTAAGGTTCCGCGCAAAAACATAAAAACCCTAACACGCGAGCGAAGTCGCGGGGAACAGGTAGTAGAGGAATAAATGTAGAATAGCGGTTTTTTTAACTTTGATGCAAGTCTTTTCATTGTTGCTCTGCGTCTAGCTTCGATTGTTAAGTTTTTTACATTAGTGCCTGCCAGTAGCTGGAGACCTTCCGTACAGGCCGTGACGTCTGGCGCGTAAAAAATAAAATGTCCTAGCGCTTGACGGGTTAGCAAAAATCAATATCTAACTGAGAGAAGTAGCCTAATGCTATACTATTCCTATACTATTCCTCCTCCTCATGAATCTGGCTATAATATAGAAAATCGTTTTTTCAAATCGGACTGATAGTTCCAGAGATTGGCGTGTTTAAACAAACAAAAAACAAAAAAACCCTTCCACTTTATTATATTAGTATAGATTACAAAATTATAATGCAGTTGTTGTGTTATGTTCATGTTATTTTTATGTTTATGTCATGTTCTCTTACTCCTTAGGCGTCGTTCCAACCTTATGAAAGGCAGCCTTAGTGCATGCGATTCCTAAAAAAGGCTGGGACCTATCCAAATACAGGCCTATCACCATCACCTAGTTCTCCAAAATAATGGAATCCATTATTAACTGCCAGCTCACGCGTCACGCGGTACCTTGAAGAGCATAAGCTGATTAGTGACCTTCAATACGGTTTCCGTCGAAGCTGTTAGAATCGATAGGACGGAAACGGCGTGTATGGATGTATGTATACATACATACACACCTACTTACATAGTTAACTATTTTATGGGTGCCAGTGGAGAAAGGACCTCTTAATATTCCCGTAAACTTCCACTGCTGAACATGGAAGGATCTCTCCCTACGCAGGAAGGATTTGCCTTGAGAGTCACGCTTGGCATAGGACTGACGATCGCAGAACCAGACGTGAGCACCTCTGGCAATGTCGCCTGGCGCCGGTCTGGATATTTTACATCTGAAGTAAACGAGGTGGTTATACCGCCACCTGTCGGAAGCCATCAGATTTTTCTGACAAACCCATAGTCGCCTCTTACGAAACCCACGGGACAAAATGTGATGATGAATTCTCTTATACCGCACTTACACGCAATCTTCGACCGTGTGTGTATAGCACTAGTTCTGTGTGGAATTCGAAACAGCGATTATTAGATTAATGTAAATGTAACATGGTCAGAAAAATCATTCTTTCCCTCCAAAAATGAATATGAGAGACATTATTCGGAGCAATTGACTAAAATACTTTATATCTGGCAACAATATTTAGTATTATTGTGTAAAATACTATAATTTCTTTATTTCTCCCTGTGTTAACTGATAGAGAATGCCATAAGGCATAAACTTCGCCCATTGTAAACCGTTTAAGGTGTCTTTCAATAATGATGCAATAACTTACAATAAATAAAAAGTTTAACTTCGACAAATCATTTTTCAGAAACTTCTGAGAAGAAGATTAAATCAAATTCTACTGATTGTAACATAAACCATGTTCGTGAAGAAGACCTCGATTTTGAAGGCCCTACTATTAAATCAAACCCTAAAGTAAAAAAAGATAATCAAGCAATTTACAAAAAAGGAAAGCATCCTGCAAAGATTATGAAAACGAAAATTTTGAAACAAAAGAGTGTAAATATGCTTAAGAAAAAAACATCTGGGATATCAACTAAATACATTTTTGAATGTGATGGTTGTAGTAAAAAATTTCCAACAAAAGACATTCTCGCCAAACACATTTCATACAGTCATAAGACGCAAAACAACTCAGACACCACTGCAGTTCGGACACAAGTAGAACTAACTCCAGTACCACAACAAACAAAAATATTTAATTGTGATATTTGTGAATATAAAACATCTCAAAAACGTTCCATTTTGGTACATCTTAAAGCGCACGTCGCTAAACGAATGTACTGTTGTAATATCTGTGAATATAGATGTAGTAGAAAAGATAATTTGCAAATACATATGAAAATACACACCGGTGAAAAACCTTTTTCGTGTAATATCTGTGAACATAGATATATTACAAAGAGTCGTTTGCAAACACATATGAAAATACATACCGGTGAAAAACCTTTTTCGTGTAATGTCTGTGAATATAGATGTATTACAAAGAATCGTTTGCAAAGACATGTGAAAATACACACCGGTGAAAAACCTTTTTCGTGTAATATCTGTGAATATAGATTTATTACAAAGTGTCGTTTGCAAAGACATGTGAAAATACACACCGGTGAAAAACCTTTTTCGTGTAATATCTGTGAATATAGATGTATTAGAAAAAGTCATTTGCAAACACATGTGAAAATACACACCGGTGAAAAACCTTTTTCGTGTAATATCTGTAAATATAGTTTTATCGAAAAATATAGTTTGCAAAGACATTTAAAAATACACTCTGGAGCAAAACCTTTTTCGTGAGCTATCTGGTAAAATATGTACAATATTGTGTAAACGTTTTTTATATAAATATGCGTGTACCAAATAAAAATCTATGTTTTGTGAATTTGTGATGTAATTATACAGGTTGTCCAGTAAGAGTAGCGGGAGTTTGTTTATTGATTCACGGCGTCAAGTGAAGTAGCAGGGGCGCGGGGAGGGCAACGTTGCGCGTCGGTTCGTGGAACTTTAGCTGGCATTGGAGGTGGGCAAAGTGTATCATTTTTGCGATTGGAACATTTGCATCTTGATCACTGAAATGTTCCGAAACACTGATATGTTTCATTTGGATCATGGACTCAAAAGATATAAAAGAAAGAATGTTCCGAATACATTAAGTTGCGTCGCGGGCGTTTATTACTGACTGATCCGTGAAATGTTATGTGGCAACAATGCTGAATAATATAAGCGCTTAGATTATTTATTGTGTACCGTAATAAGATTGTATATAAAATCGATCCTCCTTCATACTTTACAAAAATGTCACTATGTCAATTCATTATTTACAAAAATGTCCATTTACACAAAACAGCAATGTCTATGTACACAGAATTTACTCGTAAAGTATCATAACTCTAAACTTTATGATGAAAAGGAAGAAAGTAAAGTCACAATAATCACTACGCAAAGAAATCCTAAACATAACTCAGTATGTTTTCGTAAACAGGCGCTAATGAATATAAACAATTTGACAAGTGACGCATCAACGTAAAATGACAACTTGTTAATGCAAACATTACATACAAAAAACGACCGTATAGTATTTGACACATAAGCGCCTTAGTGGTAATTTTTACGTGCATGAATAACGTCAGCGAAAATCCGTACGAGTTGAGTGATACACTTCTTATTTGTTATCTCTATCTGACTTGTGTGGATTATAATTATTTCGCCCGCTCACTCGCCACTCGCGAGTCAATAGTTAAGTTAATTACTGTCTCAGTCTGTCTCTCTCGTTCGTGGCTCAGTCGCCTCGCAAGCGACGCGTCGCGCGAAATGAGCAAAGAGCAAAGTAATGTTTCACTGTTCCAGATCCAAATGATACATTTGAAACGTTGTTACTGAACCAATCTTTTGTGTTACTTCAGTGATTCGTATCAGTGAGTCGTTTCCGTAAAGAGATACACACGCCTAGTTGGCATGGAGCCGTATCCCGGAACGCATCGCGCTTTTTGCGTATTATCGCAATAACGATTCCATTGTTACTGCTCAGCGTTTATATCGCAGAGAATATCGCACACGTACAGCGCCAAGCGACGATGTCATACGAAAGTGGATTAAAATGTTCGAGAATACCGGGTCGACTGTTAAAATTCAAAATACAGGTCGCCCGCGAAGCGTTTGAGATGCAGAAACAGTCGAAGAAGTGAGTTTCAGTACGTGAAAATCCGTCGGTATCAATTCGCAAACGAGGACAAGAACTAAACATCAAAAAATCTTCACTGCAGGTAGTTTTGAAGAAAGATTTGCATCTCACAGCCTACAAAATCCAGTTAGTCCAAGAACTGAAGGATTCCGATTATGAAAGTCGGTTAAATTTTGCTACTGAAATGCTAGAGCGATTCAACAGCTTTGACAATATTCTGTTTAGCGACGAGGCCAATTTCCACCTTAACGGTCACGTTAATAAACAGAATTGTCGCTACTGGTCCAAGCAAAATCCTAAAACAAAACATCAACGGCCACTTCATAGTCCAAAGGTCATCGTTTGGGCCGCCTTTTCTGGTAGAGGCATAATCGGCCCCTTTTTCCACGAAGACAGATGTGGGCGAGCAGTTACGGTGAATACAGACCGTTATTGTGACATGTTAAGGACGTTTTTGGCGCCCGCATTACAAGATTTCCCAGGTTTTAATTCAAGAACATGGTTTCAGCAAGATGGAGCCACATGCCACACCGCAGGGGCGTCAATAGAAGCTATAAAGGAATTGTTCCCAAACAAAGTTATCTCGCGTAGGAGTACCATTAACTGGCCCCCTAGAAGTCCAGATCTCTATTAGTCCTCTCGACTATTTTTTATGGGGATACCTTAAGGGTAAGGTATACGATGACCACCCAACGAATCTGAGTCAATTGAAGGAGAACATCACGTCAGAGATGAGGGCAATCCCAACTTCGCTTTGTCAACGCGTCGTCGCCAATCTGCGTTCAAGGTTAGAGGAGTGCCAGCAGCGTGGGGGTACACATTTAGATAATGTTATATTCGCCAAATAAATTTCCAAGAAACTGTTTTTGAATTAAAAATAAAGGATATATTTAATTAATTATATTTCTCATTTTATTTAACTGTCAAATACCCGGTACCCTTACTGGACACCCGGTAAAACGAATAGAAAAACCTTTCCGCGCCTTATGTGCAAATTGAAACTACATTTATTCTGAAGAAGTTAATTCAATACCTCGTAATTTAGAATTTTGTACAATCGAATTCAATATAAATTATTAAGAATAATTCAAAAACTATTGGTCAGACCTTGATCAAATTTATATGGGATCACATGTGAAGCACCAGCTTTCAAATAAAAAAAGAGTTATCGAAATCGGTTCATGCAGAAAAAGTTAAGACGTAATAAACATATAAAAGAACATACAGTCGAATTGAGTACCTTCTCCTTTTTGAAATCGGTAGAAAGCAAAAAAATGGAACCTTAAATACCGTATGTGTGAATGGAGGTTAGTGGAAACAGACTAGACCTTCATTTTTTTTTTTTAATTTAAATGATAGTTTACGTTTTTCTTTTTTTCACTTCGACGTTTATCGTTACCGTTACAGCCTTTAAAACTACTCTGTTGAACATAGGCTTCCCCCGTAGATTGCGTCATATTTGCCTTAGTTGCCATGCAGGTGGGTTGGCAACCGCGGTTTTTTATTATTTTCACTTGTAATCAGGGAGACGCGGCTGCCCATCTTGTAGTTTGTTTCCCTCTGTCGCCTCTTACGACACCCACGGCACGATATGGGGTAGTGGATTGTCTTACACTATATCACATTATGATGTTGTGTGGTGGTGTCTGTCTGTACGTGGTAGAGCCACGCTGCAGCTATATTGTGGTTGTAGCACGAATGGATCGGTGGGTGGGAGCAGCTTTCGTGAGAAAATTATGTTTCGTATGGTGAGTGTAGAGAACCGGCGACCGCTTTCACTAGTAACAAGGCATTCCATCTCAGTCCTCATGGTGACAACGCATCTGCATTTTACTTCTCAATTGAGGATAAGGAATCTTAATATTTGTCAATGGGCCACAGCATACGAGCACACAGTCCACCATCATGTGGACTGTGTGCTCGTATGTCCCCCTTATTCTATTTAAAAATTCAACGAATATCTCAGATCCACACCGGCTTGAAACCATTCAAGTGTGAGGTGTGCGAGAAATTAGTTAAGGATCTTCATGAGAAGCGGCTCCACTTCACATACGTTCATTTAAAGAAGCCGTGGCCGAAACGCGCGAGAAAGGAGTCGACGAAGTCGCAACAGGTCAGTAGTGTTACGTGCGCAGTGAGTAAAATTGTACATTAATAGGGATATGTATGTATCCTTCCACCCACTCAGCAAGTATATAATGACGTCGGTCGAATTCTCGTAGTCACTCCCCGAAGTAGCGTCAATGACCCTCCACCAGTATGCAATAATAATGCATACGCAATTTGAGTGACTCCAAGCTAACGTGCTAGTGGGGGGTGGGGTTCTCGTTCCGTTCACCCCCGTTTTAATCTTATTTAAAAACGAATATATCATAGATAAAGGTATGATAGTTAAGCTAGCGCTCGCCGGCACCAACCAATGAAATTGTTAATTGCAATTTTAAGTGCTGATCTATCAAGTGCTCGTCGGTGAAGGATAAATAACTGTACATCTAAAAAATTTTTAATTCTTTTAAAGTATTTTCATTGCTTTCCTATTCCTATGTGGAGCTGGAATAAAGTTTAATGAATAATGCCATATAACTAAAAACGAGAGCATATGAGCATGACATCAAAAACTCTGTTACTTTTGTTTCTATATCAATCATTCATGTAGGCTTGTTTTAAAGCAACCGTTACAGCAAAAACCATATATATTATAATTTGGCTACTCTTTGAAAAATAACCCTGTATAAGACACAGCTTGCACAACATCTTGCCTGGATGAATACATGCGGTATAATGGTGAATGTTGTCCGAGAACCGTTCTACAAAGTGAAAGATATTACTCAATTTATACAAAAAGATTAAGTACATCATACATTTTCCGCAAGAAGTTTAGTCATTTCACTGATATTTTCATCATTTAACTTTACTTGTTCATCATGAAAATCTGAAAGAAATTTTCTAAAAACATCTTATTATAGTCACTTTGCCATTGGCGTGACGATGGCAAAGCGACTGTACATAACAATATAGCTAGGAAGTCGAATATACTGAAGCATCAACCACCAACCAGTAGGGCGCGAGCGGTGATAGCTGTTAAATGTTTTGTCTCCAATGAAATTAATTCCGGACGGATCTATTTTTTACATTGTGAAACTAAGTAACAGGCGTGACTGATTTGTATCCGATGTCTTACTCAAACCACAGAATAAATAATTGCTTAAACGAGAAATATTTTAATATATTGATACGTCTTGGAATCACCGCGATCACCTGATCTCACACCTTTGGATTTTTATCTCCGTGGTACGATTAAAGCACCCGTGAGGACTAAGATGGAATGCCTCATTTCCAGTAAAAAGGGCCCCCGGCCACCTGCACTCACCAAGCGAAACGCAGAGGTAAACCTCTACTTCACGCTGGTTTTCTGTGAGGTCGTGGTACCACCCCGGTTCGAGCCGGCCCATCCGTGCGACAGCAAAAGCTGCCGCGTGGCTCTACCACTGTTAATACTCGTATTTCAAAAAACATTCGATACCGGGGCGGAAATAGGTATGCGAATAGTCTGAGCCTTTGCAAAAATAAAGTCTGAAATATTTGTTCTGCAACGCGTGTGTTCAGACATTATAATATTAATTTAAACCTGTGTCACAAGTGCACAGAAATAAAAGGTGGTCGTCAAGTAAATATTATATGTAGTGATGAATCAGGCTTTGTGCATAATTATAACAATCAGTCAAAGTAAAATTTAAAAAGTTGTGATTATCGATTACTAAAGTGATGTGACGAGTTCCCGACCTTGACGCAGTTAGTATAGGTAAGACGCGGCTTGCTGTTTCGCTTTGGCGCGTTATCATTCCATGCAGAGGTAATCGATGCACATACAATTTACAAATGGCAAATCTTTGTTACATAGAGCTCGAGGATCTGTGACAGCAAACACCTGGCCGCCGAGCTTCAGCACGTCAAGCAGGTTCTGCACGGCAACAAGCTTCGGATTCCGCGCCTACGTCACCGTGACCGAGTGAAGCCGGCCACAGCCGAGCGTGTGCCTGCTGTACTACCATAGTCAGAGGTGTCACAGACAAGAAAGGCGACATCTTGAAGGGGCTTATTAGAACATTCTTCAAGCCGCCGAAGAAGATTAGTCAGTTCTTACCATCCGTCAAGTGCAATATTCCTCTACAAGAGGCAGGAGTGTACAAACTTGATTGTGAATGTGGTCTCTCATATATAGGGCAAACAAAACGATCAATAAAAACCCGCGTAAAAGAACACATACCTGACGTGAAGCATCAACGTTCCGGGAAGTCTGCAGTTTGTGATCATATCCTAGACGGCCCCCGCCATGCCATTAGATTTAACTATACTACTGAAACTACTGAAATAAACCACAAATTCTCGCGAAAGAACATCGATTCCTGCCAAGGATGATGCGTGAGGCTATTGAAATTAAAAAACATCCTAATTTCAATAAAGAGGGAGGCTGGGTACTTCCACCTGCTTGGGATCCTGTAATTAATAAAATTAAAACTAAACCCAAGCATACCACCTGCAAGACTTCAAGACACAGTAAGTTTATTCTGCGTAGATCGGACCAAAATTAATAATTAAAAAAGCTGAAGGTACTCCGGGTTAACTCTGACATTGGGACGTCAATCACCTCAGTCCCCCGTGACCCCGAAACGTCGGGAATTAATAAAAATAAGTAAATTAAACGCGATAAAATCCGTAAAAGTAGTTTTGTTCAGTGTGTAGTGTTCGCGTAAATATCATCATTACATAAGAAATCATTACAAATATTATTTAATTTGATTATTTGTATGCCGTATCCCAGCGACAGAAATTGAGAAAACGGGAATCATTCGATTTATGCCAACCAATATCTCAAATATAGAATTGTGTTCTGAACTCCTCAAAATATGAGATAATGGCTGTGCGCAGGTTTCTGAACAAACTTGGTCAGGAAAGGTTGCCACAATGGACTGTCAGCATTATTTTCCTTACCAATACTTTACCTGACAATGTGCAATATGATTTGTTTTCCTACAAAGTCTGAATTTCTGCAAAAGGATTACTAGCGTACGTAGCAAAATGTTTTAAAGGAGATGTATGGAATTGGGTTGTTGACATCGTTCGTAACAGTTATACAAAAATATATAGGTAATATAACGATAAATAATAAGCAAAATTAAATGATTTTTATTTCTGTAGTGTATGGGACAATCATAAAAACATTTTTTAAAACTGAAAAACGAAAGCTAATGCTTTTACCATAGCAAAAACAAAACGATTTTAAATATTTTTATGTATTTTGTCTTTGGCATTAGATAATGAAGGCTATTTTTTGTAGTAAATAGCCTTCAATAGCAAAAAAACTCATAGTATTGAAACTTTGAGGAGAATCTGTAGAGATTAATATTGAATAAAAGAAACCTATTTAGAAAATCGATTAAATAGGCTACGTTATTAAACTAAACAAAATATTTGAATAATATCGGATACGATTGAGTAGGCTGTATGGTCGTTGATCATTGCCTGTTTTGAAGGAAACTTAACTTGGTAACTTCGAATTTAAACTTGTGATGCGCATTTGGCATTGTGGTTGTGTTTGTGGATATATTTCGTGTTTTCATTTTCGTGAATAAATTTTTTTTTTTTATAGGAGAGGGGGCAAACGAGCATGCGGCTCACCTGATGGTAAGTGACTACCGCCGCCCATGAACAACCGCAACACAAGGGGAATTGCAGATGCGTTGCCGGCCTTTTAAAAAGGAGTAGGCTCTTTTCTTGAAGGTCCCTAAGTCGTATCGGTCCGGAAAAATCGCTGGTGGTAAACTATTCCACAAGGAAGTTGTGCGAGGAAGAAAACATCTTCTAAATCGCACAGTGGTGGACCGCCAATCATCCAGATGGTGTGGATGGTATCGGGAGTTCTGCCGCGATGTGCGTTCGTGAAATTTGGCGGCTGGGATTAATCCGAAAAATTAACTTAACCCCTGGGTTTTCTCTCGATTTACAGGACAGTAGGTTATTGCGCCCACATAATGACAATAATGTGTTACTTGGGTTTTGAGAGGAATAAAACAGACAATGAACAGCCTCCGGCTGCCTGTCTAGATGACATTTTATTAATAATTGCCGAAAATAATTAAACAATTAGAAAAGTTTAAGTTGTATTTTATTTTATTTAATAATAACTAAAAAGGGCATCCTTTTGTTTTCTTTTCAATTTATTGAAAAAATTTATCCCAAGAACGAGTGATTTTACTACAGTACCTAAAAATAATAAAACAAAACCCCCAGGTCCTACAAACATCCTGTATCCCTTCCATAAAAACGTCTTTGCTTGTGGAAGGAGCTTCCATGGAAACATCACTTCCTTCGTCTTCGCTGGAATCTGATTCCTCCTCAGACTCGGTATCTGATTCATCGTCGCTGACATGGATTATAAATTCGTCCGTCACTCTATCAACGACAACGTCACTTTTTTTGTACTCTTCCTCTATCTTGATCACTTTTCGGCACAATGCCCCCCATTCATTTTCCCCCATTTCGTTAACTTTTTGCTGGACCAATTCCATGACTGAATTTACGTTCCTGTTAACGTTTTTTTTTGCGACGTATTGTTTTATTGCTGCCCATGCCATCTCGATGGGGTTTAAATCGGGGTGGTAAGGGGGGAGGCGTAAAACTAAGTGGTTATTCTCTTTCAATATTTTATCGATGTTAAATTTTTTGAAGCGTTCCTTATTCTTCGCAATTAACTTGTATAGTTGTGGCTTCAGCATTGTTTCCTCAAATTCAATATTTTTTTCACGAAGCCATGATTGCATGTCTGCTTTTCTTGAGTTTGAGGTAGGTGCAGGATCTTCTTGTTTGTTGTGATAAGCATTATCTACAACAACGACTGAATTTGCTGGCAAATTTGGAACGAGTTGATTCTTGATCCATTTTTCATAATTTTCATAATTCATGTTATCATGATAGTCGCCGGTTTTTGTACCTGCCTTAAACATTAAAAGTGCGTTGGGTACAAAACCGACTTCAGAACCCGCGTGCACTATTACAACTTTTTGACCCTTCGAAATTTTCTTTTTAACTCCCATTTGTGACCCATCTCCCCAAGCCTTTGACATGCTGTGGGAAGAATCGACATAAGACTCGTCGGTATATATAATGGGTCTGCCTTCCGAGCGATATTTTGTAATACTATGCAGATATTCAATGCGCTGTAAACGAATATTAGACTGCTCTATTAATACTTTTCTCTCATTTTGGGTGTTCTTCCATTGAAACCCTAATTGTTTCAATATTCGGCCTAAGCTGGTTACAGAACCGTTGAAATTTATGTCGTCTTTTAATTTTCTTTGTAATTGTTTAAGTGTTGGCAACTCTTTTTCAGTCACGTGAAAGTTGTGCACGCATCTTTTGATGACACCTTGGTCGAAGCTGTCAATATTCGTCACTCTCTTGACTCCCTTCCTTTTTTTGCCAGGAGTACGAAAGACGGCTAGCATCTCCGACTCATTTGCTGTTGCAGCTATTCTTTGTACAGTCCTTAGTGAGACGCCTGTAGCTGCTGCGGCTCGTTTTTGAACGAGCTTCAGAGGAATTTGGACGCCGTCTTCACTCTCCTTTTTCATAAATTGCACGACATTATACACCATTTTTCTGGCTTGCCTGCGTAAAACGTTGTATCGTCCGCGTGGCATATTTAAACAAAATAATAAAAGTACTTTCCCACAACCAACAACAGTCTAAAACTTAATGTGTGTAACACACAGATGAAAACAAAACAGTCAATAACAATAAAAACTTAACGGAACAAAAACAAACAAAAAAACGTAACAAAACAATTAACAAACAGTAACAAATTATGGGCTCAACTGTACGTAAGCAGGAGTGAACGTAACTCAAACACTAAAAGCAAACGCGTCGCGTGAGTGCGTATGAGACAGAATGCGCGGGGATGTGCCCCGCCACCACGTCCCTCTACATCCCGCTGATACCCAAAAATTGTGTTCTGCGCATCGGAACGTACGATGTTCCGAGCCGCCATTAAGTTTGAATGTATGTGTAAATTAGAACTACATTTAAAAACATTAAAACAAAAATTGTGTTTTTTATATTTATATCTTTATTTACAGCGATAGCACTTATATGCACTTATATACGTGTAACAAAATTGTCAAAAAATGGATTTCCTGAGACCGCAATTTCGATTAAATGTGTAAATTTTCATTTAAAAAATTAAATACAATTAAATACAAATTATAGCCTAGTGATATCACATATTAAGCTGTTAGTATTCTCTAGGTAACGGTATGCATTTTTCTTTCTTTCTCAGAAAAAAATTTATTGTGATTTTTTTTTAAATTACTTTTCTTCCCTGGAAACAAAACTTCGCTTTTAAATAAGAAATAACAAGTACCTAACAAAAGTTCATACCTGTACCACAGAACAATCTGCTATTTCATTTAAAAATGGTGTGACTCCTTGACTCATTTGTTTCCCAGTAATCATGTAATTGGTTGATATGAAAAAGATTACAAATCTTTGCTTTTTCCAAAAAGGGTTTTTTTAGCTCCACATATTTAACCATTCTATTACGTTACGTTCTGTTATATTGGAAGGAAACCTGCAAAAAGTTAAGTAATAAAAGATATAAATTTATTTTAATTTTGATGTTTCAGTGTATCGTCACTCGTGTAAACAACGTTTCGAAATTTCACGCAAATCGAGCAGAGATTCCATTCGAGAAAACCTTTTCCGTTTATAATTAAAATGAAAATACATTACAATGGTCATGATGGAATATGGATACAATGGAAATGGTATGGTCACACTAGTCGAAATTATAATACAAACATGAAACATTAATCATTAAGCAAATAGCGAAGTAATTGGAAATACCGAACAAAAATAAACATCTAAACCAAAATAACCATATTTCTATATAGAAATAATAGCAATTAAAGTCGAAATATCACTAAAAATCAGTTTGACATGACGCGCAGTATTTGCATAGTATTTTGTACTTAAGAATGAAATATAATATTATATTCTGGATGCCACTCACTTTTGCAACCGCGCACAATAAATTTAATGACCATTTTACTGGTTTTGCCTCTGCATTATTCCAAAATTCAAAAAAAAAAACTTCCGAAATGAACATAAACATCCGCCATGTACAGTAAAAATTATTTGACAAATAGATTTTGGGTTGTCATATAACGGCTTTTAAGAATAAATCTAAAGTAGGGGAAATATGTAGGAAGCTAGGCAAATAGTTCATCGTAAATCTTTATTAAGTGTTTAAAAGTAAAAGCAAACACTTAAGTGAAAATCGTTTTTGTCAAGTTTTGTTATCATTTTTTACTTAAAATTCTTGACATACTTAGAATTAAACTTATACTGAAATTCATGATGACTGTCAATGGGGTAATATCAGTCGTCACGTTGGCTATCCTGTAGGGAAAACAGGGGTTACTCAAGGTCATTTGATTATTCTTAATGTTGATATTATAAGATATAGATAAGCTGTGGGTAAGAGTGTGGGTTCCAGTTTGTCTATACTTCCGTGCTTAAGATACTATGTCTATGTTTTGATCACAAACTATAATGAAATGCTTTTTTTATAACTGGTTTTATGGCTCTGGGTTCTAGCCTTTCTGTAATGTATAATGTTCCTTCATAGTACACTGCTTCACAATATGTTGATGCGTCACATTGTGCAGTCCGTGGGAGATTTCGCCGGCAACTTGAACCAGCAGACAGCTGACAGTTGGCAATGGTATCTCAAGGCGCCTAAGCACCGTACACCGACACCGTATTTTGAAAATCACGTCACCATCAGTGCACTTGTTTCATCGTTTCCACTAATAGTTCACATGCGTAGACACTTAATACACAAAATCGCACCACTTTTACATATCAACGTCCACTTCAAACCATTATTTAAACAATAATACAGGAGCAGCAAACCGCCGCCAAAACTCCTGAAGTGTTTTATTGCTATTAGCAGCACAGTGTACACATTTGCAGATTTGATTCTGTCAAATTGACAGTGTCAAATGGCAATCCTGTCTTAGCAGAGTTGATGGTTTGATCCTGTCAAATTGACAGTGTCAAATGTCAATGCTGTCACTGCCTGTGCGTTGTAATATTTTTGAAAACTCGGGTTTATTGCTAAAAAAGTGAATTAAATTATATTAAAGCTAAAGGAAACAGGAAAGGCCTTTAGTGAAGTTTGTAGAATTTGCTTATGCGTTAATGTACGCATGTTTGTACTAAAGGAGACTAGTCTCCGAAATTTGTACAAAACATTGACAATCAGTTTTGTAAGTTTGTTAAATTGTTCGTAATTCGTATAATACGCTGGCTTATCTTCAGGTTGTCAGTCTGTGTTAAAATTGAGTTTTCGCTTGGAAATTATAATTTTTTCGCAGTGTGAAAGTGTGAATCGAAAGATTAATAAAAAGAACAATGTCCTGCATTATAGTGGGATGTAAATCCCATTCCTCTAGAAAAGAAAACGACTCCGAAAACATTAGCTTTCACGGGTAAGTCATAGTGTCAACATTTGAAACACAATTTACGAGAATTTTCAGTCGATAGAAGTTCACGTTTTTTTTGTCATTTTTACTTTGAAATCGAATAATCTTTTAATAAATTAAGTTTTCAGCCTATTTTCAAGTAATAAAATTTAATATTTGTTATTTAAAATTTTGAGTTAAAATTTTGGCAATAGTGTTGGAAAAATATATCTCTAGTATAAATTATCGATAGTTTACGATTAAATTACAGTTTTCCTACGGACATCAATGTAAGACAAAAATGGATCGACGCTATTGCACGTTGCAATTGGGAGTGGAAAAAGCACCACCGTATTTGTTCCAGACATTTTAAAGGTGACTGCTTTATAAATTTTGAACACAAATGGCGCAGGTTGAAATTAAATGCTATACTTTCACTACATCTGCGGGATAACACAGCTTATACAGTAAGATCCTTTTTACAATAAATCTGTTTACTGTTTTGATTTGTTTAAAAATTAAATTACTGATTACGCGGTGTTGATATTTTTATGTTGATATTTTGACTGTTATGCCGTGTAGTGGCGGTTAAGAATATCCACTACCCCATATCTTCCCGTGGGTGTCGTAAAAGGCGACAAAGGGAAAAAAGCAGGAGATGGGCAGCAGCATCTTCCTGATAATAGCCAAAATAACAATAAAAAAACTGCGGTTGCCAACCCGCTCGCCAAGCGTGGCAACTATGGCAATATACCCCCCATGAGAAATGACAATAATAAACGGCCCCCAGTCCCCGGCGGCCCCGCTATTCCTGGCTACGGTGGCGACCATGGTAACGGCGGGGCAGGGGGTGCTAAGAATCTCCGGTGGAGGTTCGGTTGCCACCTACGACGACTCGACCTGGCAACATACAACGCACGCACCCTGAGGACTGACGAGAAGATTGTAGAGCTGGAAGAAGAGATAGACAAGTTACGCTGGCATATTATAGGATTATCCGAAGTCCGAAGAGAGGGGGAGGACACGGTAATCCTCGAATCCGGCAACTTGCTCTATTACCGGGAGGGCGACCATCTGTCCCAAGGAGGTGTCGGATTTATCGTCCACAAGTCTCTCGTTAACAACGTTGTAAAGATTGAGAGTGTGTCGACGAGGGTTGCGTACCTTATACTCAGAATCACCAAACGGTATTCGCTGAAGGTCATACAGGTTTACGCACCAACCTCGGCACACCCCGATCAGGAGGTGGAGGAAATGTATGAGGATATCTCTAGAGCCATGCATTCTTTCAAAACCCAATATACGGTGTTAATGGGAGACTTCAATGCAAAAATAGGCACAAGAGAGAACGGTGAGCTGAAAGTAGGGAATTTCGGAATAGGGCAACGGAACCCAAGGGGCCAGCAGTTGGCTGACTTCATGGAGAAAGAGGGACTCTTTATGATGAACTCTTTCTTCCAGAAGCGGCCCCACAGGAAGTGGACCTGGTCGAGCCCCGACGGTTCGACAAAAAATGAGATTGACTTCATTATGACGACCAGACGACAACTGTTCAGTGATGTCTCAGTGATCGCGAGGGTGAAAACCGGCAGTGATCACCGAATGGTTAGAGGCACACTGAACCTAAACGTTAAGTTGGAGAGGTCTCGTCTAATGAAGTCAACGCTCCGTCCCCCTCGTGCTCTAATCCAAAGTCCCGAAACCTTTCAGCTCGAGTTACAAAACCGTTTTCAGTGCCTAGAAGACTGCAATGAAGTGGACGATTTGAATGACAAGCTCGTGGAAACTGTCCATGCGGTCGGAGCTAAGTTCTGCAAGACCCGCCGCAGAAGAACACAAAAACTCTCCGATCACACTCTTAATCTCATGGCTGTTAGACGGGAGATGAAGCTACATTCTTCAACAGATTTGACAGCATACAGGCAACTGAACAGACAGATCTCAAAATGCATGCGGCGGGACTTACGCAAATTCAATACAGCTCGTATTGAAGAAGCGATCGAGCGGAACCAAGGCTCCAAAGTCTTTGCCAAAGATCTGTCTGCCAGAAAGCGCCAACTGTCAAAGCTGAAGACAGAGTGTGGCATCATCGTCTCCGGGGCACCTGAGATTTTGAGTGAGATTGAGAGGTTCTATGGGCAGCTGTACACGTCATCGTTGGAGCCACACGCAAGTGTGAGTAACGATCCAAGAGCGAGTCTAATCCGACATTATTCCGATGATATCCCGGACGTCAGTCTGAGCGAGATTAGAATGGCTCTCCAGCACCTTAAAAACGGCAAGGCCCCAGGCGAGGATGGAATTACAGCGGAGCTTCTGAAAGCGGGTGGAAAACCGGTACTTGAAGTCCTTCAGAAGCTCTTTAATTCCGTCCTCCATGGTGGCATTACACCGGAGGCGTGGAGCAGAAGTGCGGTGGTCTTGTTCTTCAAGAAAGGCGACAACGCTCTCTTGAAGAACTACAGACCGATTTCCCTTCTGAGCCGCGTCTACGTGCTGTTTTCGAGAGTCATTACGAATCGTCTCGCGCGCAGACTTGACGACTCCCAGCCTCCCGAACAAGCCGGTTTCCGAAAAGGCTTTAGCACCATAGACCACATACATACCCTTCGGCAAATTGTACAGAAGTCCGAGGAGTACAATTTGCCATTATGTCTGGCGTATGTGGACTATGAGAAAGCCTTTGATTCCGTCGAAATTTGGGCGGTGCTGCAGTCCCTTCAGCGATGCCAAGTTGACTGTCGGTATATCGAAGTGTTGAAGTGCTTGTACACTAGGGCTACGATGGCTATCCGAGTACAGAACCAGAGTACGAAACCTATCCAATTGCAGAGAGGTGTAAGACAGGGTGACGTCATATCCCCGAAACTCTTTACCGCTGCATTGGAAGATGTTTTCAAGCTTCTGGACTGGAAAGGATACGGTATCAACATCAATGGCGAGTACATCACTCACCTTCGATTTGCCGACGATATAGTCCTTATGGCAGAATCGCTGGAGGACCTAAGCACTATGCTCAATGACCTCAATAGTGTTTCCCAACGGATAGGTCTTAAGATGAACATGGACAAAACAAAGATCATGTTTAATGTCCATGTCACACCTATGCCGGTAGTTGTTGGGAACACTAAGCTCGAAGTTGTTGACGAGTATGTTTACCTGGGACAAATAGTCCGATTAGGTAAGTCCAACTTCGACCGAGAGGTCAATCGACGGATTCAACTCGGTTGGGCAGCGTTCGGGAAATTACGGCACATCTTCTCGTCAGGTATACCTCAAAACTTGAAAACGAGACTGTACACCCAGTGCGTGTTGCCAGTGATGACATACGGAACTGAGACGTGGTCCTTCACTGCTGGCCGGATGAGGAAGCTCAAGGTCGCTCAGCGAGCTATGGAGAGGGCTATGCTCGGAGTTTCTCTGCGTGATAAACTCAGAAATGAGGATATCCGCAGTAGAACTAGAGTGACCGACATAGCCCAACGGATTAGTAAGCTGAAATGGCAATGGGCCGGCCATATAGCTCGAAGAACCGACAACCGATGGGGAAGAAAGGTTCTCGAGTGGCAGCCTCGTACCGGTAGGCGAAGTGTAGGGCGTCCCCCCACTAGATGGAGTGACGACCTGGTAAGATATGCAGGAAGTCGATGGATGCAGGTGGCTCAGGACCGTGC